AGCCATTTTGTGGTGTATATAAACCTGGCTTTTACCTATTCTGTAACACACACCAAGAAAGCCCCTGCATCAAAACATGTTAGTTCAATAAGGAGTAGAATCTCCAGTAGTTCAGCCTTTAACTTCAGAATATCGGCCTCAGTTGACTGGATGTCTGCCCACCTTTTAAAATGGTCATCATTTTTCAGAATTACACTGATTATTTACTAAGGCTCATGTGGAAAAAAAAATTATGACCAAAAAAAGAGACAATGAAGACATTGTCTTTGGCACACCCATCGGTACACTGCCAGGAGTGGGTTTGCTTTTCTGGGCTACAACAGAGATGAGTCACATCTTATCAGATCAGGCAATGCTCATGCTTCACAGCCACCAGCACTGAGAGGGATTACAGGCTCCTTCAAGCATTCCTCAGCCACGCAAAAATACGCCTCACTGAGATCTTAAAACCCACAACCTTGCCAACGAAAAAGCAACAGAGGGAAGAAATGGAGTCCAGAGCAGACAGCACAAAATCAAAACTGGGAATCAGTAGCCAATCAAAGCTTTGCTCCTTGTCTATAAGCTCCCATAATTTGGCACGAGTGAATTTATTTGGTCATCAAGGTCTTTTTGTGACAAAAAAGCAATAATCTGCATTGACTGTTGGCAAGACAAACAAATGAGACAACTGATGGATTTTCAGGCAGCTTCACTGGGGACAACAGTGACTTTCACAAGCACTGCTTTTTGGTCTTTGCTTTTGGTGATGTCATAATAAAGCTGTGACACTGGTGACAGGCTCCAGATGTTCATTGGCAGAGCTGGAAGCTGGGGTCTGTCTAACAAGGACACATTGGTAGCAAATATGGCTGGACACAACAGCCAAGTTAGAAGTGGTTATGCTGCTGGCACAGAGATCACACTAGAGACTAAAGCCATTCATCACAAAATGTGTGATGTCAATACAAAAAACACACTATTTTGTCTAAACTTTCTGTTGCTTCACTGCTAGAGGGCCAGTATACTCCATCAGAACTGCCTGTCATATGGTCTCATAGCTTATGAGAGTGTTTTCAGGTGCTTAAAATAAAGTGATATTTGCTTTAAAGTCAATAGTTTAAATACAGCTTTATAGCAAGATCTTTTAAATACAGACAACATACTGTGTTTTGTCAATATAACCTTGAGCAAAAAAGATCAAGGGTCCCAATTATCAGCTCAAATTGAAAATAATCAGCTGGAGTGGAGTTCAAAGAAATAACACAAGAAAGCTGGTGCATAGCCCAACTTGTGCAGATGTAGCCAGGTCAGCGAGTTATGCCTCAGGAATGAATGGTGTGTCTACAGTATGTGCATGTGGTGCAGAGAACCTTCTATGGGCTAAAATCACAAACACTGTGTTGACTCTCATCACCATCACTGCTGCCAGGGGGAGAGACTAAACTTATCACAGACGAGAAGACAATTGCTTAAAGAAAAGTCCTCTCAGCAGTGAAGTGCGTCAGGGGGTCTGTGTGTGTGTATGTGTGTGTGTGCATTAAGAGAAGTTATAGATAAATTCTGAAATGTGGGCCCTTTATCAGACCTTCTGCCTTGCACAGATAAGACAGGAATGCGGCTTACAAAGGAAATCAGGTGAGACTTCTCCTGGAGAACCAAACAAGCCAAAAGGAAAGGCTGGGTGCTAGGCACTTTTAAACACCCTTTGTCTTCTGTTTTAGTCTGACAGCTGCTAACTTGCTGATTGATGACATTGTTTTTTCTCTTTACTCCTGTTTTATCTTTGATTCAGTAGTCATTTCTGTACCACTATACCACAATATCCATTCCGTTCATTCAACAACAGACACTGAAGGGTAAATTTCCTTCTATTAATGAGTCAGTCAACACAGATGCTACTTAATCTGTTCTAAAAGTTTGTGGACCAAATCTCTGGGTATTTTGCTCTATTTTAGTGATGGGAGAAATAAGACCTAGAGCATCAGAGATCTGTGGTGCTGGAGGTGAACTGCTTTCAGAACATGTCAAGTATCTCAGATACAAAGAGACGCTCACGCTTGCGCTTGGATTCCTAGGTATTATCTAGGTTTTTCTTTTATTCACACATTGGTATTTGTGGCTGCCTCCACCACTGTAAGCTGGAATAAAAATTAAAACTGTAACAAACATGAAATGCAATTATTGTGATGAAATAAAACACCATTTGACTGTATGTGCTTTCTCATCATCTAAATGCAACCACATTTTGCATCTAATCACAAATGCACTTTCATCAGGCTGCAGCAGATTTATTTTAATGTGTTTCATCCTTTTGATTTCAGGCAAAGATCATTTGCACATATGAGGAAAGACATTTTTGGAAGCACACTCAGCATCTAAAAAAGCACCAAAATAACCTAATCTAGTTATTTTGAAGTGCTTTAAAACCGTTGTTTCACAATGTTCACTTCTATTAACATGTGATGCTTCACTTAGCCTTGCATTATAGCATTTGGATTTAATTAAAATCTATTTTCTATGTTTATTTCTTCTTTAAATATCGTTTTTTCTGATATATCTGTTCCAATTTCATTTTATTCTTCCTGTTTTTGAGCCTTTCTGAAAAAGCTGTTTTATTGCAGGAGTGTGGGTGGAAACTGAAACTACATAGTGTATTTCATGAATTTATATAAGATTTTATCAGTGCAAATAAAAAAATGAAACTAGAGAAATGCATTTCCTGTAGTAAATGTGTGTGGATGCTAATAAAAGCTAAAAGATTGTCCTGAAAATGTCCCGAAATCAATTGCTGAAAAAGCTGAAAGATGAGAAGAAATGGCTGAAGTACTTTGTTGAAATAGTTGAGAAGAAATGGCTGAAGTTCTTTGTTGAATATTCTGAAGAATGAGATGCAATAAAGTAGAAATGGCCTTGAAGAGCTGCACATTTTGATACCTGAATGGCTTTTCTAGCTGAAAGTATGCCGAAGCTATTAAAGATGTGAAAATAATCCAATAGGACCCCACAAAGTAGGTAAAACAAGTAGGTGTGAATGTGTGTGTGTGTGTGGGGGGGGGGGCATGTCCCAATTGCACTGCATTTTATAAACCACCAGATGGCACTCCAAGTCTGTCATTGACTCAG